GAGCAATTTAGTTGGATAGCACAGTATTAATGTCTGAAAATAAGCTGCTTAAAGTCGTCATCAACCATAAACTAAATAATATTTCTGTATTTATTTCAGATTTAGTCAGTCATACACTTAGTTCTTATCAGTCTTTAAAAGAGGATGAGTTATAACACTGTTTAGTCAAAGTTAAACATGAAACGTCAAAGTTTATTACAAGTGGCCCTTCGAGGGCCACCATAACGCTCCTGTGGCCCTCGGTGAAAATGAGTTTGACACCCCTGTTTTAACAGTTGTTGTTGCTGTTGTTGTTGTTGTGCTTATTATTATTATTATTATTGTTATTATTGTTATTGTTATTATTGTTGTTGTTGTTATTAACAATATTATTATTATCCTACACAAATCATAATTTTGAGAGGGCTTTCCTGATTTCGTTTTTCAAATACTGAGACCGGGTTGTTGTGTTGACGATGTGTAATTTCTTTACTGATCAGTTCAACTGTTTGTGGATTTAACTGTGTTTGAAAGATGAAGAAGTGTTTTTATAAACTTTTCACCACACTTTCAAACAAATTGCAAAACACAGCCTTACTATTACAAATATAAAATAAAATAAAACTAAAAAACTCAGATGAAATGCTACAAGGTCCGAGCATTTTGCTCTACAATTGCTGCAAACAAATGCTGCACAATGGCACTGCATTGTGGGTCGGTGTTAAATGACTGTTTCAAAATGGCATCCTGTTTAGCACATACAAAGTCACGTGATATATCTTCTAGTGCTCATTGAACCATTCACTCTCTCACTCACACCTAACAGTCATGTTTTTGGTCCGTGGGATGAAGCTGTAGTACCCGGAAAAAACCCACACATGCATGGAGAGAACATGCAAACTCTACCCAGAAAGGTCCCCGGCTGGGATTCTATCCGGCACTTTCTTGCTGAGAAGCATCAACCATGCCGCTCTAGTTTCAAGAGAAAAAAAATCTTCTTTAAGACTAAATCCAACATTACCCTGATGATCTTGTTTTAGATCTACCTCTGCCCAGATTTGCTGGGCTCAAGAACGAGCCGGAGATGCGATACACTGTGGCTCCTTCCAGCACAGACGCTCCGGCTGCTCTGTGTGGGTTGGCCCCTGGTTCTGTCCCGTGGACTCCAGCAGAACGAAGCACCTTCAGACACCAGGATATCAGTGCAGACAAAAAGGTGAAGCCTGTGTTTAAACTCAAAGTACTATAAACAAAATGTTTATATGAACTGTCATGTCTGATTTAAAGTGCCTGTGACATGCTTATCCTTCAGATACAAAAGGTCAAAGAAAACTTTGTTCTATTTAAGAAACTTGGCATACAACACATTATTTTACCCATTTGGACACATAACTTAACATAACATAATGCTTTCTTTTGAACTTGGCTTGGCAAAAGGGAAACAGGAAGTGACATCAAAGGGGAATTCCTTTGAGAAAAAGAACTCGCTGGTCTTTGTTTATTGAAACATTATTATTTGAACTCTGACTCTTTTTTTTCTTTCTGTCCGATAGCGACTCAAAATAATCTAAAACATCAGATTCCTCTCCACAGTCTGGACTGTTGAGCATTTTAGCTTAGCTCTGTTTTCTTGCAGACATTCCCCTTTGACATCACTTCCTGTTACTTCACATGCAAATATCTCAATAACTGTTCATCTCAGCAGCATGAAAATTATTTTATTTTATGTTCTCAGTGTTATATTTCCGAAAATGCTTTTGTATTATTACAAAAATGTTAATGTCACAGGCACTTTAAACTGCTGCCTTTGAGTTGTGAATATAGATTACTGTTATTGATCAAATCCACAAGCTTAAATGGATCATTGATGAGCAGATGAACTGATCTTATTCTGATATTTACACTGAAGAGATATTATCTTTGTGGTTAAAATACATAAAGTATGGAGCTAAAGTCTTGTTGCTGGAGCAGGACTCTTGCCTGATATTAATGTAAAGCTGCAAAATCTGGTCTCAACAGTAAGTAAATATAGGACCAGTTGCTGATATTAATCCAATCCATGACTTTTCATGTATGGAAGTAGCCGTATGTCATGTTTTATTATCAATATGTAACATTTGAACATTTTCCTGCTAAATGACTCAGTTTTGTTTTCCATTGGTAAAGAGATGCTTTTTTTGCATTTCCTAACCAAGAGCAGATTCTAGGTGATCTATGCAAATACAACAATATATTACTGTAGCTAACTGAATTTTTAAAAATCTAATCAATAAAAATGTGGTGAATGAATGTTTTAAAAGTGACATTCTCCCTTTTTTTTTTTTTTTTTTTTTTTTTTTTTTTTTTGCTTTTGTTCAGAAACAAAACAGTAAAATATCAAATCTTTCTTCCACTGTGCTTCTGGAATGGGAGCAAATTACTGAAAATAGAGGACAGAAACAAATTTAAAGGGGACATATCATGCAAAGTCCACTTTTTAGCTGTTAGATACATTTTGCTGTGTACTTGGAGTGTCTAGGAGGCAGAAAAGTTTAATTTAGTTTCTCCTGGTGCTGCGTAGATATCTTTACAGGTCCTTCTCAAAAAATTATCATATTGTGATAAATTTCATTATTTTCTGTAATGTACTGACAAACATTAAAC